TTAGACTGGGTACTAGGAATAATTTCTTCGCAGAAACGGTGATGGTTGTTTAGGACATGCTGCCCAGAGCAGTGGTGGTGTCACCGCTCCTGCAGGGAATTTAAAAGCTGTGTGGATGTGACACTTGTGCCCATGGTTTATTGTTGGTTTTGGAGTTCCTTGGGGAATGGTTGGACCCAATATTCTTAGAGGATTTTTCCAATATAAGAAATATTGTGGGTCTGATTCTTGAGAGGGAAAGTCTCCAGTGAACCAGGCAGGGTGCCCAGCTACACCCAAGCAAGCCCTGCAGCAGCTGCAGGACACACAGACATGGCCCAGCCCTGCAATGCCAAAGTGCTCATCTTTATTCAAGGCAGGAAGAGCAGCCCCTGCCCCAAAGACACCGGGGCTGGCACGACAGGACTCCAACCCAGCAGCACCCAGCAGGAGCAGCTGCCATCAGCCCAGCTGGGCACGGCACAGCCACCGAGGCCAGGGGACATCAGCACATGGGGACATCAGCACATGGGGACATCAGCAGATGAATCCAGCAGCCAGAAGCATGGGGGATGTTCTTCTCTGGAATTTCCAGTTCTCAACCCCAGATTCTGCATAAAGAAACGAAACAAGCACATCACCAGGTATAACATTTCCCTGCCACTCTCTCCCCTTCCCTGCAATGCCCAGGGTGAGGTGCAGCAGAGTCAGGCTCAGGGCAGGTGAGGTGCAGTCCTTAGTGCAGCCAGGTTGGGCCTGGGCTATCTCAGTGCTGGCAGCCCTTGCTCCAGGGCTGTGCAGATGTAGCCAGACCTGGATCATATCCTCAGTGCTGCACAAGGACAGGGAATGTTTCCCTCTTTGGTGGCTTTGTTCAGGCCTCTGCAGATCCTGAACAAGGCCTGGACACTGGGGGAGAGTGCGGAGGCCCTGGCTGACCTGGCGCTGCTGCAGCCCCTCTCAGGGTAGCTCCAAGCACCCTCCCTTCTGTCCCCTCAGCTCTGCCTGAATCTTCAAGGGTGCTGAGTCTTTTGCTACTCGGGGCCCTTAAGCACCTTCTGCCATGACAGCAGCTTTTGTAATTCCAAAACTCACTTTTTGCAGCAAAAGTAAAACCTGGAACATTTTCCTGCGATGCCATAGGGGAAAGAGCAATTCAGAAGTGAGCAGAATCCCTTTTCTTTCTTACATTGTTTCTCATTTTTTGGTCCCAAGGAGGATCCTGCACAAATAGGAAAGAGGTCAAAAATAGTGTGGCATAAATTTCAAAAATGTGTCTGGTTCCAGAGCAGCTGCTTCTGGCTCTGAGTCCCAGTCTTGTATGGGAACTGAACACCAAACTCAACATCGTAAACTCTCCAGTCAGAGTTAATTTTTTCTACAGCAACATGTGCATGTGGGGAAAGACAGGGGGAAAGATCAGCAGGATCTACAGGATTTGCTGTGCTGGATCCTCAGCTGCCCAGACCTTCTTCATGTCAAGTCCCTCACAAATGTTATAAATGCCTGAGAATTCTGGTCACATACCAGGACCTGGAAAACCCGTCAGGTGGCAGTTCCCACCTCAGCCATGTCCCCTCTGTCCCTCTCACCTGCAGCACTGTGCACCAGCAGGAGGAACAAGGGGAAGAGCAGGTAGAGGATCCTCATGGTTGATGCCTGTCCTGGGTCTTCTCTGCGCTGCAGAGGGAACACACCAAGAGGCAAAGCAGGGTCAAGGATTGAGGGGAATCTTTGTGCCTGGAGAGGCCAAGCTAAATGAGGTCTTATCCAATGCACTTCATCTCCCAAGCCAGCCCAAAGCTTGCTGCACAAACACACTGCACAATCCACTATGCTTTCCTGAAGTCAGGAAAGTCTTCTCAGCTCTGCTGGCAAATATCCATCCCCAACTCCAGATCATTCCCAGGATTCCCAGCCAGCCCAGTCCCCATCCCTGTGCAGCACTGACCCAGGAAGGAGCAAGAGGGCAGGGAAGGGTCTTGGTTGGCTGGAAGTGAGTCCCCAGTGACCTACCTGAGAAAGGTGTTGGTTCAGAGCACACCAAGGTCTGTCTGTAACAAACCAAGCTGGAATGTCTTGTGTGAAGAGTCCAGCTCTGGAAATGTCCCTGTGCCCCAACCACGCCGTTTTTTCCCCATTTCCAGTGGGTGGGGCTGGCACAAGTGGCCTGGGCCAAGGCGGGAGTGCCCCATGGCTGTGGGGGTGCTGGGGCTGGCCCTGCTCCCTCCCTGCTGCAGGGCCAGAGGCTGAGGGGCCTCCTGGGGCTGTTGCAATCAATGGCACCGTTGTCCCCATGCAACACCTCTTGTGACACCCATGGCACAGCAGCACCAGGCTGTGGGGCCAGCAGGGAAATCCTTGGGATGGGCACAAGAACTGGTGGGTGCAGGCACAGGAATCAGGGCAGTCCTGGGAGATCAGAATCCTTCTTTCACAGAATCACCTCTGGAATGGCTGGGGTGGGAAGGGACTTGAGAGATCATCTCATTCCAACATCCACCATGGTCATGGACACCTTCCACCATCTCAGGTTTCTCCAAGCCTTGTCTAACATGGTCTTGAACACTTCCAATGATGGAGTAGCCACAGCTTCTCTGGGCAACCTGTGCCAGGGCCTCACTACCCTTAGAGCTAAGAATTTTTACACTATATCCATTGTAACCCTGTCCTCTGTTAGTTTGAAAGTTTCTCCTTTTTGGTGTTGCTCCAGACCCTGGCCCAAAGTCCTTCTCCAGCTCTTTTGTATCTCCTTGAGGCACTGGATGGGATCCAAGGTCTCCCCAACCCCTTCGCTTCTCCAGGCTCGACGCCCCCAGATATCTCAATCTCTAGAGTTTATGTCTTGATATGTATGAGTCTGCTTTTTGAGTAAGGCAAAAAATGAAAAACTCTTGGGCCTTCTGCTCCATAACTCCATCACTGGGCAGAGTTTTGCTGCCAAAACCATTGCCCTGAGACAAATATCAAATATTTGAAATATTAAGGATGAATATTGAATATTGAATAATAATGAAATATTAAGGATGTCATGTGTTTTGGAGAAAGACATTTGCAGGATAAGAGGCATCTTCGTAGGAAGTGGGAGGTGAATGAAGCTCCCCAGTGAAACAGGATGGTTGTAAATCCCAATAAGCAGCAGCCTGGCGTCTCTGCCAAGTGCTTCATACCTAGCTGGAAATTTGGAATTAGCCAGGGTGGCATCCTGGGATAGAGAAATCTTTATCAGTAGAACCAGAGGCACTCATTATGCACACAGGTGTTCATGGATCATGATCATGGAGGCGTTTTCCACAGAGGGTGAGGTCAGCCTCAGCAGAGGAAAGGCATTCTGACCTCCAGTTGTGTCCAGGTGGGTGGAGAGGAGAAGACCCCCAGCTCCCACCCTGCAGGGCTACCCAGGATACCCATCTGATCCAGAGGGCCCCTTTGTGATGTCACCTGGACAGCTCCCCTGGGAAGTCTATTTTACTCCAAGGTCCACAAAGGTGTCCTTGGGGTGTCCCCTTGGGAGCATCCCAAGTGCTCATGAGGGCCAGGGAGTCCCTCACTGCCATGTGGTGGGATGGGGTGTGGAGCAGCACAGCTCCCATCTCCTGGCAAGGAGGGTTGCACTGGGCCCAGGGCCTCCAGGTGGGGAATGAGGGGTTGTAACCATTCCTGTTTTCCCAAGGAAAGATTTCTGCGCAGTAAGAAATAAGGGATTTTGGCATCTGAGCACATTCTGACAAAGGGAAGCTGAGTTCTTTTAGCCAGCCTTTCTCTTGGCACTGTAGGTTAAGGGCTGTGTAGACCTGGAGAGATGTATGGCTCAGAAAAACTCAAATTAAGGGGCAGTTTGCACCATAAATTGTTGCCCTCTGTGATTTGTGTGTCAAACCCCAGGCAGAATCATGACACAAGTTTCAATGACCAATGCTAACCAACAATTTATTTAGAAGGAGGAATAGCAATGCAGAACACATTTGGATTTACTCTATATTTTAAAGCCTTTTGCATAGGCAGTGAAAGGAGTGTGAGGCTTTGCAGCAGGATCCAGTGGGTTTAGGAGTAAGGAGATTCCAATCGAATTTGTAGGCTTAGAAGAAATTTTCATTACTCTTCAATGAACGGCTCATCAACTTCTCTTACATTCCATGGCCTGCAGAAAGGAAAAAAAAATATCAAATTTTCTTTCTGCTTATATTCCCTCCCCACTCACTCTCAGCCCATGCTTTTTTTCCTCCTGGACACAAATTTTTCCCAAAACAGTTCATGTCATTTTTAGTCATGTTGTAACTAAATTGCTCCATGCAATCATATCTGTGAGTAAGGAGGCTGTTTCCCTATTGTTTAGGAAAAGCAGTCAATTAAATTGATATCCCCAGATTTTGAGGTGAGCTCATTCACTCCTGAGTAAAAATAGGAGGCTGTTTTTCACATGATAATTTAATTTTACAAAAAATTTTACAACAGAAACCTCACCCTGGCCTGAGAGCATTCTCCAAATGCTTCTTGGGCAACATTTAACACTTGAGTCAACACAGAACACCTGACTGTGCTCATGGCATAATAGTTTTTTTTTCCTTATAACCTAATGCAAATATTCAAGAACATCTTGGGGTTTAGGAGTCAGGCAAACTATTTACTACTTCTCTGCTCATCCTGCAGATGAGCCTTGTTGAACGCCAAACTCACGGTTTGCAGCAGGAGCGGAACCCAAAGCATTTTCCAACTTTAACCAGGTGGAAGGGACATCCTCCAAAGTGACAGCTCCCTCCTCTGCAGAAAAGCATTTCCCTCCGGGGTGAAGACAAACCTGAAACAAGAACAAAATGTTTCCTTCCCCCTTGCTCTGCAGGGCAGGGAATTGCAGTGGAAGGGTTTCTCATTCTCAGGTTACAAAGCAGGTCTAGCACAAGCACTGGACTAATTGATTAATTCCTGACTAGCTTCTAGCAATTTGGAACAGAAGTGGTTAAAACATGCTGGGGATTTTTCTTCAGGTGCACAAAAATCCTTTTCCAGCATCCCGTTCTCATCTTACCTGGAGAGATCTGGAGAGCCAAGAAGAGGAGAGAAAAGAGCAGGCAAAGTGTCTTCATGGCTGAGGATGGGCTGTGGAAAAGGACCAAGGAAGATGTAAGAGACAGTCCCTGGGATTAATAACAATTACATTTATATTAATTTTATCTTCAAGTTTTCAAAAAAAATCAGTAAAACCCTGACTGTTGTGTGGGGCAAAATGTTTTCAGGACATGGGATCATTAAGTTACTTTAATAGTTTTGTTCCTCAGCCTTTTTTTCCATTTTGCAAATATTCCTTAGCCAGAACAGAATCATGGAATCCCAGAATGGTTTGGATTGGAAGGACCATTGAAACTCATCTTGCTTCAACCCCTGGGCCTGAAACACCTTCCACTAGACCAGGTTGTTCAAAGTCCCATCCAACCTGGTCTTGAATACTTCCATAATTTTATTTTTAGCTAAATGATTCTGTCTAGTAAATAAACAACATAAAGCAAAATTCAGTGATAATGCTGTAAACATTACAGACTTCAGGGAAAAAAAAAGTTCATTTTGTAATGTTTAAATTTATCAAGAGATCAATTTGCTCAGCACCTCCAGTCTTGGTCTACAGCAGCAGTTCTAGAACAGAAATGTACAATCAAATCAATTCCCATTTGTAAAGAAAATTTTAAAAGCAAACATGTGATACCTTCATTGGAAGAGTTTAAATTTATATTAGGATTAACTTAATGGGATAAGATAGTGTAGAAGAGTAGTTATGGATAAAGCTAATGTTTCATATTAGGAACTATTAGGAATTAGGAATGTTCTGATCTGTCACAAATTATGGTCTCTCAAACAAGGAATGGAAATGACATTGTGTTGACATGTCCTATTGCTGAGAACAGAATTGATAGAGGGTGAACCAAAGCTATTTCAAAATTAGTATTAGAAGTTTACACAAGCTTCTATATATTTGAAAATATCAGGAGAAATAAGGAGACAAAGTGAACAGTTCTGAAATTGAAATAAGGGTTTAACGTAGAGACATAAATAAAAAATACAATAAATAAAATATGTGTTATATACACCATTAAAATATATAAATATATAAATAATAGATAATTTTATATCTCTTATGCATTACAGAAATATTGTATAACTGATTATAATATGTTAATATTCAAAGGTTATATATTTAATGGAAATTTATAAACATGTAGATTTCCACTGAAAAGTCACCAATTTCGCTGGACCACAGACCTCTCTAAAGCAACATGAACCAATCAAACATTTATTTTTCCTAGCACTTAGGAGGCAGAAAAATGTATTAAAGCATTCTAGGTATTAGCATATATTTGAACCACTTATTTAACATGCTCAATTTTCTGAAATCTTAGGTTTACCATTTTAATTACATACAAATTAAAGCTAATAACACAGAGGTTTGGGAGTTGGATTTTTGAGAAAAAAACCAGAAGCTGACATTGAAAGAAAAGAACTGAGACATTACCAGGTATCAGGTGAGCCCTGAAGCCAAACAAGGCTTGCTCTTGGTCCCTTCCCTCCTGAAGACTTTGGCTCTGGGACTGGGATGCTTTTTTATAAGGTGAGTCCAAAAAGAGACTGACAAGTGCTTTCTCTTCTTAGACATTCATTGAGCCAATCCAAAAATTGCTCTTTTTTTCCTGATGGCTTATAATCCAACCAGAAACCAGCTGCTTTTCATTTCTCAATGATAAAATAGGGTTTGAGGTTTTTTCCTGGAAAATCCCATGTTTTTCATGCAATACCTCTTGTGACACTCCAGTTTGTGTAAGGTACGTTAACCCACCATGGTATGTCTCAGACTTCTTGGGACATAGGTTGAACTGTCCCTGCCTAGGAGCAACTTTAAACCTTGCAAGACAAAGCATCTGTGTGTTCCCTGCAATCCCAGTTAATTTTCTGTTATATAAAAACAGAATATAAGAGCACAGAATAGATATGTGGAAATAAAACAAATGTCCATTGGCTTCCTGGCCAGTGGCCACTGAAGATGCCAGAGTGAAGCAAGATGTACCCAAATAAAGTGAATACATCATGGTTATGTCCCTGGACACCCTTCCAGCTAATGGGAAATAAGTAAATTTAGGCAAATCCAGTGCCAGAGGATGTCTTTGGGCCCTCAGGCCCCAAAGCTCCTGCTTTGGGCTTGAGCTTTTTCCCCAGGACTCTGGGTGATTTTTTTATTGTTCTGCCTTCCACAGGGCCTTCAGCTGATCATTCCAAAACCAGATTGTGCCTTAGATGAGCATTCAGGTTTTGGTTGTCTGCTTACAGTCTGCCAGCTGTTGACCTCTGCTTCTTCTTTTCTGCCATGGGAAGCAGCATTCAGCTTCTGCATGGATGGAGCACCTCTGCTGTGAAGAGATGGAGAGAGCTGGGGGTGTTCAGCCTGGAAAAGAGAAGGCTCCAGAGAGACCTTAGACTTCATCTTAGTATCTAAAGGGGTATTATGAAAAGGAGGCAGAGGGATTTTTTTATATGGGCAGATAGTGACAAGACAAGGGGAAATGATTTTAAACTGACAAAAGTAGGTTTGCATTAGATGTTAAGAAGAAATTGTTCCCTGTGAGGGTGATGAGGCCCTGGCACATGTTGCCCAGAGAAGCTGTGTCTTCCCCATCCCTGAAAGAGTCCAAAACAGGTTGGATGGAAGTTGGAGCAGCCTGAGATAGTGGAAGGTGTGTCTGTCTGCATTGGGGAAGTTGGAATGAAATAGTCTTTAAGGTCTCTTAGAATCCAAACCATACTATGTTACTATGATTCTAGGATATGAAATGCTTTCTCAGATCGTATTTTACTTTAAATCTCCCTTCAGTCAACAAACAAATATTGTTCATGCAGTATTTTAACATGATATATGAATTACATCATACTAGGTAATGATACATTTGCTAATTTGAATTATTGGTGTTTCTAATTGACCAAGACCTCTGTAAATGACACCATGTCTTACAGAAACTACTGTGCTGTAGTGTCTAAAGGTAATACCAAATTTAAACTGAAATATTTCCATTGCTGACTGGCAATTTACCTCCTATTCATGTAATTTTTTCATTACTTTGATATTTAGTTCTTAAGTAGAACCATAGAATAGTCTGAATTTGAAGGGACCTTTGAAAAATGAATAAGTCCAAGCCCTCTGCAATGAGCAGGGACATCTTCAACTGGGTCAGGTCACCCCGAGCTAGCTCAGAGCCCTGCCCAAGTAAACACGTGCACAGGAGTGTACAGAAATTACCTATATGCATGTGAAAACATAACTACAAACTATTTCCCTTACAAGCATACCCTGACACATCTTTTTATTCTCTAGATAATTTCGTATGTGAACTGTTTCTGCAATAGCAAAAATGGTAATTGGATTTCTGGTGTGTCTGCCAACATCTGGCCACAAAACTGAAAAATGGGGAGAATAAGATTGCAAAAGTTGCAGTTGCTTCACCTCTTGCCAAGTGTTGGTGGTTAACTTGCCAACTGTTACTCTTAGCCAACACAATTCCTCGAGGAAACAAAGGTGCATCGTTAATTTTTATGGTCTGTAAGATTTTATGTGTAAGTACTCTCAAGGGCTTGGCTTTAACACTGGGAATTCTTGGCCCTGTTTAATATAAATTTCACATGGTCACAGTCCCACCCAGGCCATCAGAAAACCTCTGCCTGGACAAGGGGAAGGGAAAAGCAGAGGAGGGGTGGAGCACCTTTGGCAGAACTCAGAAAGATTTTTGGGTTGTGCCTCTTAGGGTGGACAATTTTTCCATCCTCGTCTGCAGCTCCTGTTCTTCTGAGCAAGAAACAACCAAACACTTTCAATTATTATGGTGGGATCTTGTGCAATAATCCAGTGCTGAGGAGCTGCTGCACCTGAAGCAAGTGGGATATACTCTGAAGTGAAATGTCCTCAAAGGAGGCTGCAAAGTGTCTGGAGCAGAAATGTTTTTCACCCTTTTAAAATCACGTTTGAGTGATTTTACCACGATCACCTTCCAGAGAAGAAGGAGGATCTTATCTCCACCTTAGGAGTTTGTAGCTAGCACAGAGGATGAAGCAATTAGGAACAAAAAGGAGAATCTCAAACTCTGCTCCTAACAGTTTTCTCTTGAAAATGAGAAAGGAAATATTAGCGATGTCTCTCACTAGTGTTACCTTTAATTAAAGTGCTTCAAAAGGTACACAAAATGCATTTAATCAAGCTCAATATTTCATTGATTATGCAGTTATCTTGAGTAAATTATGAGATTAACATCTGCATGAACAGTTCTGGCTCCATCTTTTGACATGACAGCTAATTAAAGGTACTGGGGTACAAGGGCAGAATCCTCTTTCTTTTTTGAGAACCACAATGTGACTGGCAGTGATGTGTGTGATCAAAGTTCCTTGGCACAGGCCAGGTATCCAAAAGTTTCTCAAATTCAAAGAACCTTCGTATACTAAATCAAATTTTCTAGAGAAAACTGATGGGGGTAATCTCACCAAATTTCAGATATCCTAAAAGGAAATATTGAACTACAAACTATTTTCACTGCTCTTCATTTATGGATAATGGAGAGAGGCTGTTCTACAGACTTTTAATAGACATTTGCAGTAAGATTGTTAGAAATAAAACATAAAAGTAACAGTATGGATAGAAGAAACCCAGAAATGTTGCAGGAGGAGATGTTTTGCAATAAGAGCCATGAGCACCAACTCTGCAGAACAACACAAGTGGCAGCTGTGCCTCTCACAGAGCCAGAATTTGCTCTTCAGAGGGCTTTTCTAAATATGTTTTCACCTCTCCAAACCCACCAGAAAGTCATTAGGAGTCCAAACCATCTGAATTTGGTAACCTATTTCACTGGCAACTGTTGTGACTGTTCAGCAACTGCTTTTGAAGAGATAACAACCAAATCACTACATTGAACACCCATAAATCTTGGGAATATATTTTTTTACTCTTTCCCTTTTTTTATACATTTTTTCCCCCTGTTTTGTGTTGCTGATATGATTCAAAATGTTCCTGGTTTTCCTTTTCATAAGGTCCACTCAGAAAATTTCCCAGATGCCTCTAGGC